TTGGAGCACCAGCCTGGGCTCCCACTGCCAGCATGGATGCTCGCCGCGTGCGGGTGAGGGCTGGGCACACGAACCCGTGGGGCGCACGCGGTGGGTGCAGGACGCGGGCGGGCGCGGGCTGACTCTCCAACTCTGCCGCCGAGTGCTGCTTATCAACTGGTGGCCGACTTGGGCGTAGCCCATTTGTGCACACCCGGGATTGGGCCCACCTGGAGTAACTCGCCCGCAGAACTTTCTTGCAGGCGAGCGCATCCGGCGGGCGGGCGGTGTGGAGATTTGCGCGGATGCACGATGGTTTCAGCGCTGGGGAGCCCCAGGCACGTGCGCCCGAGGTGCACGTGCACCAACTGGGCTTGGGTGACCCTGTATAGTTCCTCTGGCCAGATCCTGCCTCTCGGCTAGCTAGGAGTTTGTCTCGCAGTCCCGCAGCCGCGCAGTGCAGCTCTTTCCTGCAGCACAGCTTCGGCTGCCGCGTGGCTCGTGGCGTCTCCATCCGTGCGCAAGGGGTGGCACTCATGCGCTCCCCACCAGTTCTGTCCCCACCACGCTGGTGCCTCCTAGCTACTGAGGGTCAGCGGGATTGAAGTGAATGGGTTGTGCAGACTGGTCACTTTAGAACTTGGGTTGCGCACGTGGCTGGGTGCGTTTTGGTTCAGGAACTTGAAGGGCCCCGAGTGGTCCAGGACATTAGTCAACCGTTTACATTTGGGGGAATACTCCCTCTTCCTCCATCCCCCCAACCGCACTCACAGCTGCAGGTCATTGCCCTGAACGGAACGGTACTTTTTGCTCTAACGGAAGCCGGAACAGAGGGTCTGTCCCAGGAGAGGGTAGATGAGTGGGGGTTGGGTGGAAAGGAAGAGAGTGACATGCTTTAAGTAAGTATCTGGGGTTAGGGACACTTGGGGGAGGGGGGAGAGGGAGGAGAAGTGGTTTGAGAGTGGTTGCTGGAACTAGCCATTGGCTTTCAGGATGAAGAAAACCATTTGTAGCTTAGAAGCTGACATGCAGGTTCAAATTTGGGGCACGGCGTAATCCGTTTCTCTGAACCTCAGTTTCCTCACTTGGTAAGAGAGAATAAAGGTTCATTTACCTTAGAGAATTAAACGTGGTGTGAAGCACATTAACTTTTGCACCTTCCTGCCTGCAAAAAAGTCCACCTCACTCCTGACCATTTGCCTTGCTTATTTCTGTCTTTCCCTCCAATGTGTATTTGCCTGGTAACTAACTCCTGGCATGCACTGACTTGTAAAAGCTCAGCAGGCATTTTCCTGACAGCTTCAATAAAACCTTCCTTGAGGCTTGTCTTGGCCTCTGACTGCCTGCAGGTAGATTGATAAATGGTGGTAATTGCTGTAGTAATGCAAAGAGCATGGCTGTTTCAGGAAACTTGGGTTCTTCTAGCTGGGAAATCTTGCTCAGTCTCTTTCACTTGGCTGGGACCTTGAGTTTTCATCTTCTGGACAATGGAGGACTCCTAAAGTCCTTTTCAGCTCCTAACATTCATTGTGTTTCATTCACATGTAGCTTTTATATTTAGCAGCTCTACCTATTACTGCATTTTTCTGTCTTCCTAAATTGTAAAAAAACTTCCCAACATCATTGAGTGGAGTCTACTTTGGGGCTTATAGAGTTTGGGGTGTCATCATCATGAAGGTCATTTCAGCAGACTAAACTGCAGAACGCTAGGTGAAGCAGGAAGTCAAGAATGTTCTATTCACCTGACATTTCGCATCTTACTCTTTTGGGACACCCACAAAGTTTTCCGTGTAAGGAGTAACTTTTGCTAGTCCATGGCCCTATTTAAGAAAATGGAAATCTAGGAACTAATGCAACATTTAAGAAATGTCATTAAATGATAAATGGAACTGCTATCCTTTAGATACATGCTATTTGTATTTTCTGATGAACTTCGCATGGCTGTTCACTGTGAGTCATTTTCATATCTATAAGTAATTTGCACCTATGGAAAGGGCTGAAAAACGTAAGTCTTGGGAACCAGCAGTTAGCGTAATGGCTATGTTGCTGGACTCCCACGTAGTCGACCGCGGTTTGTGTCCCGGACCCAGTGGCTTAAAACTCACGCGGGGCACGTGTGCGTGTGTGCCCAAGATCCCGAGAGGAGAATGGAGGAGAAGGGCTTGCGGCCGGCCCAGCCCCCCTGGGGGGTGATTTCTCGCTTTCTGTCTCTTTGTCTCTCTCTGTCTGGCGAGCGCCCTACAGTGAAAATCTCTCCAAAAAAACAAACAAACAAACAAAAACCGTAAGTCTTAAATAGCGAGGGGATTGCAGAAAGAGCTGAATCTCAACCTATGGTAATATTCCACCTGGGTTTGGAGTGCTGTTTTTGTTTTTAAATTTGCTATAGGGCAAACGTGCTCACCAGAGAGACTGAGTCAGAGAGAGGGAAAATGAGAAGGTTTCCCCACAGGGGATAACCATTCTTGCTCTTGAGATTTTGGGCACACATGCATATACTCCTGGTGAATTTTTCAAGCCACTGGGTCTGGGACTTGGAACCTTACAGTAGACCACCATATGGTATCCAGCCACCTTAACCACCAAGCTATGAGCTGGCCCTGGAGTGTAGTTTGATCTTTATCTTGTTTGTACCACTTGTTTACTGGGTTGATATATTTTATTTGTAAGGACTTCTGCTGAAATCATACTCCCACATCTCTTCTGATTGGATTGGGGACCTGTTTGGAAACCTGTCCTTGAAGTAGAGGTCCTGCCTAATTTTTGCAGTTTCCAAAATTAGCATCACGGTACATAATCTAAAGCTTACCTTAAGAGACCTGTTCGCTTGATTTGGGCTGAAAGAGGAAAAAAATGGCTCTTCCATTTTGTACTTTGGAAATTTCCTTTTAGGAGTAGAGTTTAATTTAAACATTTTTCGTGACAATTGCTAATCCTGCTTTTTCTATATAGGGTGTGTGAAATGGACATATCTGTTTTATGTCCTTTGAACCTATAAACTAAAAGTGATGTGTTTAGTTAGCTTCTACAGTAAGCATCTCACTTGAAAGTATTGCTGTTTGCATTTCCAGCAAAAGGATCTCAGAGTAAAGAACTTTAAGAAATTCAGATATGTGAAGTTGATTTCCATGGAAACCTCATCATCCTCTGATGACAGTTGTGACAGTTTTGCTTCTGATAATTTTGCAAACACGGTAAGTGCTGCCTGAGAATAAACAGAATTGAGTCTGCAGTGCTCAAAATGCCCCAAATGCTTTGTGCATGATTAAAACTGCTTGCTTTTTGCCTACATTTCTATACAGCCGTTATGAAAATACAGTATGCACTGTAATTTCGTTTCACTCTTTGCTGTGGTTCTAGGTAGTAATTGTTGGAGGTAGATTAGCTACTTATTCTATCCTTTTGAAATGTCGCCTAACCTAACATGCCTGATGATTTGCCATAACAACTCAGAAATCATTTGTAAACCTCTGAACCGTTTTTCTTTGTAACAAAAGCTATTCTCTTGTAGTGCACTTGTAAATGTGATTTGCTCTCTGCACGGTTTATGGAAAATTGGTTCTTGAAAAAGAAAAAAAAATGCACAACCACATTTATTTATTTATTTTACAGAAACCTAAATTCAGGTCAGATATCAGTGAAGAACTGGCAAGTGTTTTTTATGAGGACTCTGATAATGAATCTTTCTGCGGCTTTTCAGAAAGTGAGGTGCAAGATGTATTAGACCATTGTGGATTTTTACAGAAACCAAGGCCAGATGTCACTAACGAACTGGCTAGTATTTTTCATGCCGACTCTGACGATGAATCATTTTGCGGTTTCTCAGAGAGTGAGATACAAGATGGAATGGTGAGTCTGAGAATTCCACCAATATCAAGAAGTATACATTTAGAGGCATGACACAGGTTTTTGTTTTTGTAGGAGTAGAGTTTAATTTAAACATTTTTCGTGACAATTGCTAATCCTGCTTTTTCTATATAGGGTGTGTGAAATGGACATATCTGTTTTATGTCCTTTGAACCTATAAACTAAAAGTGATGTGTTTAGTTAGCTTCTACAGTAAGCATCTCACTTGAAAGTATTGCTGTTTGCATTTCCAGCAAAAGGATCTCAGAGTAAAGAACTTTAAGAAATTCAGATATGTGAAGTTGATTTCCATGGAAACCTCATCATCCTCTGATGACAGTTGTGACAGTTTTGCTTCTGATAATTTTGCAAACACGGTAAGTGCTGCCTGAGAATAAACAGAATTGAGTCTGCAGTGCTCAAAATGCCCCAAATGCTTTGTGCATGATTAAAACTGCTTGCTTTTTGCCTACATTTCTATACAGCCGTTATGAAAATACAGTATGCACTGTAATTTCGTTTCACTCTTTGCTGTGGTTCTAGGTAGTAATTGTTGGAGGTAGATTAGCTACTTATTCTATCCTTTTGAAATGTCGCCTAACCTAACATGCCTGATGATTTGCCATAACAACTCAGAAATCATTTGTAAACCTCTGAACCGTTTTTCTTTGTAACAAAAGCTATTCTCTTGTAGTGCACTTGTAAATGTGATTTGCTCTCTGCACGGTTTATGGAAAATTGGTTCTTGAAAAAGAAAAAAAAATGCACAACCACATTTATTTATTTATTTTACAGAAACCTAAATTCAGGTCAGATATCAGTGAAGAACTGGCAAGTGTTTTTTATGAGGACTCTGATAATGAATCTTTCTGCGGCTTTTCAGAAAGTGAGGTGCAAGATGTATTAGACCATTGTGGATTTTTACAGAAACCAAGGCCAGATGTCACTAACGAACTGGCTAGTATTTTTCATGCCGACTCTGACGATGAATCATTTTGCGGTTTCTCAGAGAGTGAGATACAAGATGGAATGGTGAGTCTGAGAATTCCACCAATATCAAGAAGTATACATTTAGAGGCATGACACAGGTTTTTGTTTTTGTTTTTGTTTTTGTTTTTTAAAGAATTATTGAGCTAGTCTTACTTATTATTACTATTTTTTTTTAAATTGGAATAGAAAGAGAGAAAATAAGAGAGTGAGTAAGCCAGGCCCAGGACTCGAACCTCAGTTGGCCATGTGGGAGTCCAGAGCCTTAACCATCACTGTACCTGCCAGCCCCCAACATAAGTGCTTTTTAAAAATTTTTTTTCTTAGAATTTTCCTTTTAGTCATGCCAGCATTTTGTTGACCTTTTAACAATTTTGAGTATTTTGTTTCTGTCGTAGAGCAGTTTTTACTAATATAGTCCTACTTGTAAATCTTGAACTTTTTATAGGCTTTGAAAAAGTCTTGGAAACTGGAAAGATAAAATTGGCCAGACCCCAGATTTCCATTACCACAGAAATCCAGCCTAGTCAGAGGAAGCACATGTATCCTAAAGATGAAGTTCGTGTGCCAGCCCAGAGTTGGCTCAGGCAGGCCTTCGATACATGTTCCCATGTAGATCAGGGCCAGCCTTGGAAGCTTGTGGTAATTCTGTGCAGAAGTTCAAGTGCAGATCATGACAGTTAGGGTCCTTCCTGCTTCTACTTTTGTTCCTTGGTTGGCTTTTCTTGTGCACGCTACCTTGCCCTTAACCTCTGTCACCCTGCTTAGGCCCCTGCTGCTGCCTCTGTCCTTGAGCACTGTTTAGTTTTACAGGCACTTTCTTATTCGAAAGACTCTCACCAAATGAAGCAATGCTCATGGTCTGACCCAGGCCTATTTTCTGGGGACACATGAGCAACATCGAAACAAAGGACAATGCCTGGCCAAGCAGGTTTTAGCACCATCTTGACCATTGTTCCTGGTAATAGAGTGTCCGTCCGTCCCCCCCCCCCCCCCCCCCCCATAAGTGATGTCAGTCCAAATCAGTGCTTCTGGGAGTTGATTGTAGGGGCCAGTCTGCAAAGTGGAGTGACCCAAGCATTTTCAATAGTCTGAATAAATTCTGGGTAGGGTTTCAATTTTTTGTAGGTGCTATTTGTCTCGGTTAATAAAAATACCAGTTGATGAAAAGTGTTAAGAACTCATGAAGGTTTTGTTTTGTTTTGTTTTTTATTGTTTTGTATTCACTCAAGCCATGGATGCTGAAAGGACATGAGAAGTACTAAAAGCAATTTGTGGGGAGTCTTCCATTTATGAGACTTTATGTGTGATATTATTTCTTCCTTTGTTTTTACTCAACCATCACTACCATCAATTTAAAAATATTTTTATCACTCCAAAAAAGAAACTCTGTACCCATTAATTGTCACTCCATATTCTTTCCCAGTGTACATGGCAACTACCAGTTTGTTTCCTATTGTAGATTTTCCTGTTTTGGATGTCTCATATAAATGGAATCATACAACTTGTGGTCTTTTGTGACTGATTTTGTTCACTTACCATGAAGATTTCAAGGTTCATCCTTATTGTTGCATGTGTTAGTTTTTTATTCCTTTCTATTATAGAATAATATGCCATTGTGTAGCTATACCACGTTGTTTTAATCATCAATTGATGGATATTGGTGGTGTTGCACTTTTTGGCTATTACAAATAATGCTGCTATGAAATTCACATAGAGGTTTTTTGTGTGGACATACTACTCTTGGGTATATATGAGGTTACATAAAAAGTTGGTGGAAAAATGGAATTAATATGTCCATGCATAGTTTTCTCATAATACTCATGATATTTTTCTGTGGACTTTTCGATTTTTTTGGAGAGGTTTTTGCTATAGGATGTGTGCATTTGCCAGAAAGACAGAAAGTGAGAAATAACCCCCCAGAGAGGATGGCCATGCCACAATCCCTTCTTCTCCATTCTCCTCTTGGGATCTTGGGCACGCACGCACACGCGCCTGGCGTGAGTTTAAACCACTGGGTCTGGGACTCAAACCGCGGTTGACTACATGGGAGTCCAGTGACATAGCCATTATGTCAACTGCTGGTCCCTTCTGTGGACTTTTTTTTGAAGACCCTTTATACAGTAAGATGTCACATAATGGTGCTTCATGTACATAGTTAGTCCTATAGGCTATACCATGGTGTGTGGCCTGGTGTGTAGTAAGCTATACCTTCTTAAACAGTGGTATTTGCACAATAAGGAAATTACCTAACAGCAGGATGCTCGGAATGTATCTCTGTTGTTAAGGGTTCCATGACTGTTGCTAGCAGTGCAATTACTGGGTCATACAGGCATTCTATGTTGAGCTTTTTGATGGACTGACAGACTTTTTGAAAGCAGCATACCATTTTACATTCCTGAGTACAGCGTACCAGGGTTCTGGTTTCTCCACATGCCAATATCACTTGTTTATTTCCTGTCTTTTTCATTTAGTTCTATTTGTGAGTATGGAGTGGTATCTTACTGTAATTTCGATTCACATTCCCCTCATGGCTAATTTTAATTCATTTTTAGTCATGGAAACCTATTTTTGGAATCTGGAAATTTAAAAAATTGTACAAAAAAGTGGATTAAAAAGCACCTAGAGTACATTCATAGAGAAGGAAAGTAGAATGAAAATGACCAGGGGCTGGAAAGAAGGGAATGGGGCATTATGTTTAATGGGTATGGAGTTTCAGTTTGAGAAGATGAAAACATTGTGGTGATGGCTGGATGACAAAGTGAATGCATTTAATGCCACTGACCTACACACTTAAAAATAGTTCAAGTAATAAATTAATCTTATGTATATTGTATCACAATTTTTTTTAAAAAGTGGATTAGAGAATTGACATTTTGAATGTAGTTTAATATTGCCATGTCATTGAAATAAAAAGAAAAAACCCCACAGGCTTAAAGACAGTTTCTAACACTGAGTCCCAGATAGGCCACGTAGAGTTAAACTATACTCAGATTGCTGGGTTGATCAGTAATCCTTGATTTTATCACCCAGAGCTATCAATGTGTAGCTAAAAGTTAATTCTATATAAGTATGTTTCGTTCAGAGGATTTTTGTACTCATACTAGTGCAGTTTGTCCACCATCCACCCGGGGCTAATGGCTTGATTGTTCTGATAACTAGAGAGATCGCGAAGGCTGCAGGACCCGCAGCCAGTGTAGGCACTCTGGACCTCTCAGGGTGGCCATGAAGTTTCCAGGCCGAAATACCAGGGGAGCAGCCAACAAGAAAACAGTGCCTCCCCAGCCCTCTGAGAACGCTGTGACCAATTCCAGTTCGGATTCAGAAGATGAAAGCGGCGTGAATTTTTTGGAGAAAAGGGCTTTAAATATAAAGCAAAATAAAGCAATGGTAGGTGTCTTGAGTTTGAATGTGTGAGAACTAATTCTTCCCAGCTGTTGTCTGAGCAACTTGTTACTTCTGTGTTCTAAGGATTTTTTTTCCACGTAGCTGTGAAGTCTTCATAATGTAAAATGTGCTGCTTTAGTAAACTAATGTCTTTTTTTTTAACCTATTAAAGACTTGATTAAAAGTATAGGGGAAATCAGAATCTCTTTGAATATGTCAACTTATTATTAAATATAAAGCTGCAAAGTGTACTAGTGTAATTTCTACAAGTTAGTTGCTCATTTTCAGCAGTTATTCTAAACCAATAATTTCCATTTAATTTCCTTCCTTTTTAGCTTGCAAAACTCATGTCAGAATTAGAACGCTTCCCCGGCGCTTGCCCTGGAAGACGTTCTCTCCCAGGCCCCAGCTCAGTAAGTGCAAGCCCTTATTTATGTACAGGTTGAGTATGCTTTTTCCAAAATGCTTGTGACCAGAAGTGGTTCAGATTGTTTGTGAATCTGGGAGTACCTGCATATATCTAGTGATCTATCTTAGGGATGGGATCCTAGTCTAGACATGAATTCATTTATGTTTCATATATATCTTACATAGGTGGTCTAAAGGTAATTTTATATGCTGTTTTTGTATTACAGTATTTTGACTGCAACCAGTTATGTCTAGTTAGGTGTGGGATTTTCCACTTGTGGTGTCATGGTACTTAAAAGGTTCTGGGTTTTGGTTTTCAGATTAGGGATGCTCGACCTATTACAGTGTTTTGAGCAAGTCTGAGGTGGATTCCTGTTATATTTTAAAATCTAATTTTCTTATTTGTGTGGTTTTCTAGACAAAGGAAGGAGATCTAGAGGATGCCTCTCTTCCTACAGGGTAGTTACGCAATAGATGGTTTTAAAATCCCAGAATGTAGAAAGGGAAAACAGTTTATAAATAGTTATAATTTAAAATGCATATAGTTGTATGCTAAGGAACTAAGCTGGTGCAGCTCAAGGGAGTTTGGTGTGGCAGCTGTGACAGATAAGAAAGGACTTTTTTCACGTGCTCTCCCTGAAGAGAAAGGAAGCAAGCAAGCAAGGAACACGGAACCAGGACTCTATAGTCCTCTGTTATGCAGAATAGAAGTAGGGAGTGTCCCGGGACCTGCGATGGCATGGAGAAGTGCTCAATCAGTTTTCATAGCTTCCTTAAGTATACATACATCATCTCTCCATTTGAGAGAAACCAAGCTTGGTGTTACAAAAGCAAAATATAACTAAGAAAGTGAAACTCGCTCGCTCTCTCTTTTTTAAAGAGTTATTTATTTAATTTATTGTTATTAAATTTCTTATAGGGCACATGTGCTCACCAGAGAGAGAGGAAGTGAGGAAGCAAGCAAGCCACCAGGTCCAGGACTCAAACAGCAGACAGCCATGTGGGATTATCCATCGCCTCACTCACCACGCCACCTGCTAGCTCTGTGAAGCTCTATTTATTGAAAGAAAATACCTAACAGGAAAGTTTGGGTCTTCCAAAGCATTTCTTGCTATGGAATAAAGGGATTCCATCGTATGTTTTGTTTAGCGATCAAAGACACCGCGAAGGCGCACGTTCCCAGGTGTTGCTTCCAGGAGGAACCCTGAACGGAGAGCCCGTCCTCTTACCAGGTCGAGGTCCCGGGTCCTTGGATCCCTTAGTACCCTACCCACAGAGGAGGAGGAGGAGGAGGAAGAGGATAAGTACGTCCTGGTGAGGAAGAGGAAGGCCATGGATGGCTACGTGAATGTGAGTTCTCCACGTGTGTACTGCCCTTCTGCTCTCCATCTCGTGTAGGCTCAGCATCACGCACACAGCACAGGTACTCATGTGGCCGCAGCACCCAGTGACCCCAGAACATTTTTCTAAGACCATTCACGATCGTCATGTAAATTCATTCGATCCATTTATTAGCAAGCGAGAGTTGGATTTTCTTCCACTCTTCTCAGTTGCGGGAACTGTTTCCATAACGTTGGACAATTATCCGTATGGTGAACTCGTTGCCCTTTTCCAGGTTGAATTTTCGGTGAGAAACTTACAAATGTATGTTCTGAGAGTCAAAGCTGGCGAGAGCCAGTAAAGCACCCTGTGCCATGCTTCTCATTACACAGGAAGATGACATGCCCAGAGGTCGTCGCCCCGGGGCCATGACCCTGCCACATGTAATTCGCTCAGTGGAAGAAATTACAGAGGAAGAGCTGGAGAACATCTGCAGCAACTCCCGAGAGAAGATCTATAGCAGTACCATGGTGAGAGCCTGCCCGTTCTGTCTGCAGCAGTAGTCACTCATGGAAGGAAGGCTAACTTCTGTCCGAGATATGGGATGTGTACCTGTGTGTTTCCACATAAGAAGGAGCTTTACAGTATCTTTGCATTTAGCCTCTTTCACTTTCATTATCTGCTCTGCTGTGCAGTAGCGTTAAATCTTTTCTCTTAGTTTAGAAATTGATTCAGCCAATGTGTATTTGTTGTCTGTCTCTTAGGTCCTCAGAAAAGGCATGAGATGTTTTTCTATGCAAAAATGCATCGTGACTTTTCTGATGACTCAATATTATGTGCTTATTCATAGATAGGTGTTGGGGATCTGGTGATATGCCAAAGAAAAAATGAATTTGAGCAGTCGTTTTATATTGGTAAGATCATTTCTTGAAGAAGAGTTATTTTGATAATATTATCTATTATATCTGCCAATTCAATGAACGCACCATAGTTCAAATACTTTTCATGCCTCGCACATACATGTATACATGGGTGTGAAATAAGATTCAAAGACAGTGTCAGATTCTGCCACAAAGAACCTTGTTCAGGTATGCAGGCGTGAAAGAAGAGTTTGAATTCGTTTCTTATTTACCTATTGTTCGTAGGGATCTACTTGTCACCAGTGCCGCCAGAAAACTATTGATACCAAAACAAACTGCAGAAACCCGGACTGCTGGGGTGTTCGAGGCCAGTTTTGCGGTCCCTGCCTTCGAAATCGATACGGTGAAGAGGTCAAGGATGCACTGCTGGATCCGGTAGGTGCCAGAAGGGCTTGGCCTGTGAGCTCAAAGGTCCGCCACAGCTGGTAAGGCCTGAAAAAGAGCACTGATGGAAAGGATTGCGCCCTCCGTGTTTACCGGGGATTCTTTCAGGGGAGGCACGCCACTTCTTGGTGTCAGGGCTGCGTAGGTGGAGCTCCTAGAGCACGTGGGTCTGAACTACCCAGGAGAGTCGAGTCTCTCTTTTCCCATGGCCTTTGAAGTAACTAATGTGTATTAACCATTTTGTGATTATTTTAAAAAATAGAAAGGTTTAAGTGTAATCGATGACACCCACCTTCAAGGTTAAAAAGGAGAGGATAAAAGTAGGAGAGGGAGATGGTAAGGTTTAATTTAATTGTGTCTTTTCGCACTTCTTCAGAACTGGCGGTGCCCGCCTTGTCGAGGAATCTGCAACTGCAGTTTCTGCCGACAGCGAGACGGACGGTGCGCGACTGGGGTCCTTGTGTATTTAGCCAAGTATCATGGCTTTGGGAATGTGCATGCTTACTTGAAAAGGTGATGGCTCCATCTTTGTCTTTTTTTTTTTTCCCCCCCCCCCCGCCTCGCACATACATGTATACATGGGTGTGAAATAAGATTCAAAGACAGTGTCAGATTCTGCCACAAAGAACCTTGTTCAGGTATGCAGGCGTGAAAGAAGAGTTTGAATTCGTTTCTTATTTACCTATTGTTCGTAGGGATCTACTTGTCACCAGTGCCGCCAGAAAACTATTGATACCAAAACAAACTGCAGAAACCCGGACTGCTGGGGTGTTCGAGGCCAGTTTTGCGGTCCCTGCCTTCGAAATCGATACGGTGAAGAGGTCAAGGATGCACTGCTGGATCCGGTAGGTGCCAGAAGGGCTTGGCCTGTGAGCTCAAAGGTCCGCCACAGCTGGTAAGGCCTGAAAAAGAGCACTGATGGAAAGGATTGCGCCCTCCGTGTTTACCGGGGATTCTTTCAGGGGAGGCACGCCACTTCTTGGTGTCAGGGCTGCGTAGGTGGAGCTCCTAGAGCACGTGGGTCTGAACTACCCAGGAGAGTCGAGTCTCTCTTTTCCCATGGCCTTTGAAGTAACTAATGTGTATTAACCATTTTGTGATTATTTTAAAAAATAGAAAGGTTTAAGTGTAATCGATGACACCCACCTTCAAGGTTAAAAAGGAGAGGATAAAAGTAGGAGAGGGAGATGGTAAGGTTTAATTTAATTGTGTCTTTTCGCACTTCTTCAGAACTGGCGGTGCCCGCCTTGTCGAGGAATCTGCAACTGCAGTTTCTGCCGACAGCGAGACGGACGGTGCGCGACTGGGGTCCTTGTGTATTTAGCCAAGTATCATGGCTTTGGGAATGTGCATGCTTACTTGAAAAGGTGATGGCTCCATCTTTGTCTTTTTTTTTTTTCCCGCCCCCCTCTTTTCCCACCTGAATCTTACATTCCTATGTGTCTTAATAAAAAGATGATACGAGTCAGAATAGTGATTATCTCTGGGAGTTGGGGGTGTGGTAGGTATTGACTGGAAAGGGCACGTGGGGAGTGTTGGAAACACTATCTTCATCTGGGTGTTGGTACCCTAGGTGGGTATATAAAATTCAAGTTGTATACTTACGGTGCATGCACTTGGCCATCAGTAGCCTATAACAGAATACAAACTTTTTTTTTTTTTTTTATTATGCCATCAAAAGCAAATTCTTAGGTTAGAAAGTTTCCTGACATCTTTTTTGTCTTTCACAGTCTGAAGCAAGAATTTGAAATGCAAGCGTAATGTCTGGAAGATTCACTGCCTGGCTTCCACTTCTCAAATTTCCCTGATAAAGTTTTCGGTTTGTCATTGATTGAAACCTGAGTTAAGAATCAGAGTGATCAATCTGTTCTGTGGGAAATGCAGGTCAAGTTCATCTTTTCAGTCACGTGTGTGTTTCTGGAGCATCGAGGAAGGTGCACTGCTAGTTATGCTTTTCTTTCCCTGCAGTTTCTCCTCTGCTTCCTGCCCCCAGCCCCTCTGTTTCCAGCGGTCCTCTCCCACCATTTCTTTTCTGAATTCTTTTTAAATGACAATTTTACAAAAGCCTATTTGATTTAGTTGATGTTTGAATAGCCTTAGAAGCTACCCATAAAACCCAAGCACTTAGAAACACAGTAGTAATATTAACTGTTAACTAACTAGAGCTGCTACACTCCAGAACAGCGGTCTCACTTGTCGACACAGAAATGATGGGTATCATTTAGCGTTCTTACTAGTTGATATTTTGAACCAGGAGCAAGGCACACATGTTAAAAGCCATGTGAAAAAAATTAGGTAACTGTTGCAGAGTATGTTTGGATGCCTCTCCTGAGGGTATTCCATGTTTTGTACTTAACTGTGTGCCTGTTGTCACAGCTGAGACATAGTTGCTGCTGCTGTGAATTTCTTCTGCCATGAGGCCAAGTGGTATATCTGGCTTATATTGTCACGACCCAAAGCTTTGCAGGCAATGCTATACTTAAAATTATTGTAGAAAAGACATCTTGAAAATTACGACGGTGAAACTTGACAAGTGGGCTGATTTGATTTCTGGGTTAAAACTTGGCTATAATTGTAGTTTGCCAAGTTTATTACAGATAAATTTTTGGCCCCTGTTACTCAGAAACGTGATACTAATAACTTGTCTGTGTTTCTTTACAGTTTCTCAAAGAACTCACAAGTTTGTCACAGGTTCATGTTTAGGTTTTAAGCACTTTTGTAGCAATGAGACATGCCCTGTTGGAGATGAGTAACATTTATAGTTTGTTAGCCTAACGTCTCTGCCAACCTAGCTTCCGCCATGTCCCTCCTTCCCCTTGCATTCATTGAGTCCTTTGGTAGTGCTGGACTCTTAAGTGTGTGTGTGTCCAATTTATTTGCTGTGTAAGCCATTGCTATTGCCATTCATTGTTTGATGAATCATTGGAACTTGAATCAAGTGTAAATACAGCTTTTGATCTGTAATGCTTTTTATACAAAGTTTTTTATTTTAATAATAAAACTTTTTGTTCTGACTTTTCAGTTTGTTTTTTCATTTATGTATGCATTTATGTGTATATACATATATATACAAACATACTGTTCTTAATCCTGATAGTTTTTTCTCCCTCATATTTAAATAAAGGGCCTTTAACTCTCCCTTTTGGCTTAAGCTTTGAAAGGCTAGCTCTTTTGAAAGGGCCCTGATTGGTGATATGAATAATAGCAAGCTATGATCATAAAACTGAGACAGCCGTGTTGCCTGTAGAAACAAATACATGACCGTGAAGTTGGATGACTACATTTTCTTTACCATTGCCAACCCAAGGACTGACAGTGATTTCCTAACACCTGGCTTGCTTTCATCAACCATTCAAGTATTGATTAAATGCATCCTGTACCTCGAAGTCTGTTATGGGATAAGGGTCAGATCTTGCTGTAACCTGTATTCATATAGCACATGAACTATGTTTTTGTCTTTTGGAAACACATCAAACATTTAAAACCTGCAGATAAGTAGAGAAAGCACTGTGTTCCTCAGACTTACCTGAGAAACTGCATTTACCCCACAGTCAATCGGGAGAGAAGAAGAAGCTAAGCTGTAGCTGGTATTCTCTAAAGAGGCAAAAAAAAAAAAAAATCAATAACTTTCTTATAAACTTGGAATCTTGAGGACCCAAGTTGTAATTCAGCTCTCTAATCAGGAAGCTTAACTGTTCAGAGTTGATATAAATTGATGCCTAGTTGGACAGTTTTCGGTGTTATGCTTTAATATGAAGTAGAGCTTAGGTGGTTTTCACTAAAAATAGTGTAATCTTTGACTCTGATGCCTTACAGTCTAGTGGAGGAGCTAAGATAAAAGCCTCTAAATAATTTTGTCAGCCGTGATAAAGGAAAAAGAAGAAAGGGCATTTTCTCCTTTACCAGGAATTTGAAATTGTGGATGAGCCAGTGGGTTTTGTGGTGACTCCCTTTACAATGAGGAAGCTAAGTTGCTCAGTGTGTGGCCCACAGTCCTTGCAGCTAAGAGTTGAGTTTTGACATTCAGGTGTGGAAGGCTGTCTTAGGACCTGCTTTTACAATTCTCTTCAATCTGTTTCCCCAAGACAGTTCCCCACTGAAGAATAGCTTTAGAAGTAGAAATAAAGGTTTTCATGATAAAAGCAGTAGAGGGTACTGCAGGAGGAGACTGTCTTTGTTTTATTTTGCCTTGAGGGATAAATGAGGTCCCAGGGTTAGGAAGTTATTTGCATACCAGGAGAATGTGATTTGCAAATGGTGAGAATGCAGCTCTGCTTTGTGGGAGGGCTGAGTGGGAAGTATTAGGTATTGAGAGGAAAGAGGGTCCCTTTGGAATAAGAGCACATGTTAGTTTCTGTTACTGCTAACCAGACCTTACCCTGTATGTCAAGGATGAAGACATAAATCCAGACAAGTTGAGGAAAATGCCCAGTGTTGCACAACGGAAGTGGAAGCTGAACTGGGCACCAGGGGGAGGATGAGTGAACTTAAAATTCTCTTTTTAAAAAATGTTTATTTTTTCAGAGAGAGTGAAGCCTATTCCAATAGGGCTCCAGTACCACAATTCATATCATCAGCTAGCCCCAGATCACAGGCACACATAATTTGTCAATATTATTACTAAAAAGGCTAATACTATTACCGAACTCAAATTAGGTTCGCTTGCCCGAGCACTACAAAACCAAGCCATAGGCACATTTTGTGATGAAGGAAAGTACAGCTTTATTGCAAAGCACAAAGCAAGGAGAGCGGGTAGCTCATGCTGAAAAGACCCGGTCTCCCTGAGATGTTCCCCACGTGTGTTTTTATGGGCAAAAATCAGGCAGAGGTCCTAGGCGCATGATCAGTTCAGTGATTGGTTTGAGAGGGCGTGATCATCTCATGGGCATTCTTGATTGGTGAGGCCTTAGATAATCAAATTTCTCTTCAGGTGCCTGGAGTCTGAGCTCACAACCAGCAGTTTCCAGCCTATAAAACATCTTACATATTGAAATGAAAACCTTGTCTTTTCTTTAAGTGAGAGTTTTAGACCAGTTATGGTCCATGTTGGTTATTATCATAACCAAAGTCTGAACACTTACTCCTTACCCTGGGCCATTACTATATAAATGGACTTTGTATTTCAGGAACCCTAGAAAATTCATTAGGGGGTCCTTGCTCGGTTTCAATATTACCGAAAATAAGTTTTTTTTGTGTGTTTAGTGCGAAAGATACAGTCAAATTATAGTTGGAAAGTAATTATAAACAATTCCTGTGGTTACGCCAATTTGATACATAGGCTCATTTTTTGATTCTGCTTTTAATTTTAAATATTTTTAGAAAATGAGGATTTAGTTTTCTTATAATGATGTGAAACAGTTAAGGTATTTCAAAGTCAAGTCTATAAAATCAGGTATTTGAGAAGAAGCGTTCTGGGGTTTCCCTAATCTGAGGGGGCTTGCCCGTGATGTTTACCAGTGCCAAAGGGAGGCCTAGCAAAGACAGGAGTTTACTTACTGATGCAGGGATGCAGGGATACAGAGGTGACTGGGCCCACACTGGGCAGTGAGACACTTTTATTAAAAGAAAGGGGAGGAAGAGCTCCCAAGAAGGGAGGATTCCCGGAAAATGGTTGCCAAGAAAAATCTGTGGTGAGGGGTTTTTATTTGGGTCAGGAAAGGATTTGTCCAGACTTGTTCTAGGTGGGACTTGTGTGTGCATTCCCCTTCTGGTGGGGAGAGGCGCAAATTTTCCTAATTTTGGAGTGGATACCAAGGTCAAGAAATTATTTTTCTAAAAGCTTTGGGCCATAAAAACCACTGTCTTCTTCCTAAAATGTGGTGGGACATGGTAGAAACCTTTGTTTTAGATCTAGGTCATGCTGCCTAAGTCAGTCACTGAGCCATCACTGCCTCCACCTCAAAACTTAGTTATTTAGTGCCAGTAGGTGGCATGGGGGTTAAGGGCATGAAACTCCCACATGGCCAACTATGGTTTGAGTCCCAGGCCTCGCAACTTGCATTCTCATTTTCTTTTCGCTCTGTCCATCTCTGGTCAAAAATTTAAAAATAAATAAAATTAAGTAAAATTTTTTTTTTTTTTTTTTGGAGAGGTTTTTGCTATAGGGCGTGTGCACTCGCCAGAAAGACAAGAGAGGGAGAGAGAGACAGAAAGTGAGAAATCACCCCTCAGGAGGGATGGCCATGCTGCAATCCCTTCTCCATTCTCTTGGGATCTTGGGCACACATGGACACATGCCTGGCATGAGTATAAGCCACCGGTTCTGGGGCTCCAACCGCAGTTGGCTGTATGAGAGTCCAGCGACATAGCCGTTATGCCAGCTGCTGGTTCCAAGTAAAATAATTCTTAAAAAAAAAAAGTCATTTTTTGACTCCATCTTGGGCCCATACCCTAACTATGTTTTTTTGGATCCCTTTCTCCTTCCTACCTCATTACTAGGGAAGCTCTACTGATGGTGAGCTGAGAATAGTCCAAAATGGTCCTTACCGTCAGTGAATACAGGCTCAGGTTATAGATGTTTAGAACAAAGCATGCATAAGTCAAGTAAAGACACCCTGTTCTAGGGTTTACAATACCAGATCGGCTTCCCACTTAACAGAATCAGCAGAGGATGTCTGGGGTTTAGTGCCTCATCTTGTGATGCTCACGTGGGAGGGGTGTGCATACCTCCTTCCATGTGGTAAGGGCAGAAGAGGCGTACTTCCAGGACAGCCCTGGCCACGGGCCATTCCAGTAGGTAAGAGAGTGGTCACAGAGGCTCAGGTCCAGCTGGGCCAGCAGCCAGACCTCAGAAGTGGGGATGGGGTGGAAGAGAGCTCAGTGTATGGAGCTTACTTCAAGAAGTCAAGCTTTTTTTTCTGTTGCGTTTACCCTCATCCTTCCTCCCTGTAAATAGCTACTTAAAACCTTTTTAAATTATTTATATTTTTGATTTTTCAAATATAAGACATTGTGTATATTTGTACCCTTCTCTAGCCTCTGAGATAAATGGCAGTGAACTACCCACTGCATGTGCCTTTTTCCTTTATATGTGGGAGAGAGGAACAGAGTTAATTTTATTATACAATGTAGGGAATAGACAAGCGTATTCATATGTGTGAGCTGGAAGTAGGAGTCACAATTTCAGGGCTGGCCCAGTAGTACACTGCTATGCAGAGGAAGCCAGATCCCAACGGACTGAGCAGGATTTGAGTCCCCGCCTAGCAGTTTCAAAAACATGTTGGTGGGGGGAACCAGCAGTTAGCATAATGGCTATGTCGCTGGACTCCCACGTAGTCGACCGTGGTTCGAGTCCCGGACCCGGTGGCTTAAAACTCATGCCGAGTGCCTGTGCGTGCGTGCCCAAGATCCCGAGAGGAGAATGGAGGAGAAGGGATTGCAGCATGACCATCCCCCCCTGGGGGGTGATTTCTCGCTTTCTGTCTCTATCTCTCTCTCTGTCTGTCTGGCGAGTGCATGCGCCCTAGAGTGAAAACATGCGCCCTAGAGTGAAAACCTCTCAAAAAAAAAATGTTGGTGGGGACCAGAGACGGTGTAATGGTTACATTGCTGGATTTCCATGTAGTCAACCGCAGTTTGAGTCCTGGACCCAGCTGCTTAAACCTCATGCCGGGCATGTGTGCATGTGTGCCCAATATCCTGAGAAGAGAATGGAGGAGAAAGGATTGTGGCATAGCCATACCCCCTGGCGGGGGTGATTTCTTGCTTTCTGTCTCTTCAGCGAGCACAGGCACCCTATAGCCAAAAAAATTTTCTACAAAAAATTAAATAAATAAAAAACATGCTGGGTGCATGCACCCATAGCCAGACTCCTGATGGAATGCAGAACTAGAGGAAAAGGATTGTGGTGTGACCAGGGTCCTACTGGGGATACTTCCTTTTCCTCTCCAGTACACACCCATGTCCTCTAGCATTAAAAAAGAGAGATTTAAAGTT